ACAGACGACTGGTTAAAGAAACTTTGGTACATCTACACAATGGAATTCCATGCAGCTGTTAGGAAAGAGAAAACTTATTAACCTTGTCATAGTCATCCTATGAGCTCAGGTTCCCCAGGTTCCCCCCTTTCCATTCCCTCTGCTGATGCAGTGACTGGGAGGTGGAGGGAGGGGTGACATACATACCTGGCTGTGGTGCTAGCACATATTGTGCTTGCTAATGGTGTCAGGGTTGCACCTCTCTAGTTGAAGTGTTGGTGCACAGCAGGCTTGTGATGTGATTGAAAATTGTTTGTGGTCCCAGGGATCACAGAGATGATGGTACCTAGGCACAAACCAAGAGCAGCCAGTATCACACTCTGCACATGTAGTAACACTGGTATTCAAAATCATGGGCTCACTCTTCAAGGCAAGTACTTTAGTCAATGATCTGTCTCCTAGCTGCCAGAATCTCAGAATTTGTCTGCAAAACTCACTGCTGAAATAGTCCATAAAAAAGAAGGTGGTCTATTCTTTGAAACATCAGATTTAAACCAGTCAGTCCCCAAAAGAATTAAGAGAGCACTAAACATGTCTAAAGCATCTGCCATTTTACTCTCCTTTCTTCCAGTTGTGTCAAGGTCTCTGAACCTACCACCACCACTTTCTGTATTCAGAACACTGTCTCCCTGAGCCTTAAAATCAAAAGAGTTTCTATCCAGTAAATAAGTGCTCCATTGTTACCAGATGGAGAACCCCAATTTCAAGTAAACTGACATATCCTTGGAGGCTGAAAATAAGCCTGAAAATGAAAACTCATACACAGCAAAAGATGCAGCCTTGCCCCTTGGAGATCCAACTGAAACATCCTGATCCAAGTCAGCACATTTTTAAGAAGTATCTGTCTGTCTTCTATTTAACCCCCATTTTCTTATCCCACTGCATCTTCAAATCAGCTCTGAAAATTTCTTCAGCTTGAGGGGGCGAGGGGAGAACCTGCCTTTCAATACACTCCACTTTCTCCTTCAATAATTAGCATTGTAAATATCAGGAAGCTGGATACAGAAGGGTATGCCAAGTAAATCTCAAAATTTGCCCCTAAAACATATAGCCAGTCCTCAGGACAGGGTTACAGCCAATTACAAAACTGGAAAAGAGTGCAGTACAGTTTGGAACACAAAAAAAGTTAAGAAAAAGAAGAGAATAATGTTATGGAGTAAAGCTAGATATATCTTCCCAGACCAGAAATTACTAAGGTCCTCTTCTTCCGTTAGTCCAGTAATACTCAAATGAGTGTTTCCCATTCTGATGGTCAACTCCTTAGAATAGTTTCCACAATTCATTACCTTCCTTTACCCCCTTCTTTTTCCCATAGGCTTTATTACCACCACCCTAGAAATATCAGACCCCTGTCTCATCCCTGTTAGACATTTGGTCACTGCTATAGGATCACGAAGAAAAAGTTCTATCCAAAGATATATTTCAAGGGATAAGGTGCTTGTTTTGTATACAGTCAACCCAGATTCTAGTCCTGGCACCACATATATTACCCTAGTTTTGCCAGGAGTTAGGTCTGAGGATAGAGACAAGATTAGTACTATCAAGGTGTGGCCTAAACACTCCAGAAAGAGATACTTCCTCCTAGCAAGCTGACCCTGCTATACTCTCTCTACTTGGGTATACCATGAGGTGCACAAAAGGTGAGACTAGGACAATGAATCAGTCTCTAGTGACCTATGCTTTGAATTAGCCAGGAATTCCAATGACTGAGTGTGAGGTCACTGGAGGAATAAAAGCTACTTCCTCCTTTCTCCTTATTGCTATTACCTCATACTGGCATTTCTGTACGCTACACTTATCATTTCGATGTGACAAAGAGATGCAGAGGCACAGAAATTACAGAGATGTTTCTGGGTGCCCAGAACACATCTTTTAACAAATATACAGTGATATGCCATATTGTGAGCTGGGCCATTGGGATTTTGGTGGATTTTGTATCTTCACCCATAAGCAACTTAAATTAGAGTCTGGTAGAAAGCAAGTAAATGGGTTATTGTAATGAAGTGACAGTGCTCTGAGGGAGAATGGTAGTGTCCCTAAGCCTTACAAAAGGTGGGCAAGGGTGGCAAATGGAACAGTTCAGTCTCCCTTGGAAACAACCTGAGTGCCCAAGAACAGAAAACTGGTTAAAGAATTTTTAGTAGATATACACAATATTAGGAAAGATGAAGTTATGAAATTTTCTTATAAGTGGATGGACATGGAGAGTATCATGCTAAGTGAAATGAATCAGAAAGAGAGGAACAGATACAGAATGACTGCACTCACTTGTAGAATATAAATAAAATAACATAATATGAGAATAACACCCAAGGCAGAAGAGGCAAGGGCCAGAAAGATTGCTCCACGGTTGGAAGCCTGCCTCATGAGCTGGAGGAGAAGGTAGCTGGAATAGAGAAGGGATCACTATGTCAATGAAGGTTGGAGGGATTACTTGGGATGGGAGATGTGTGCTGAAAGAAAATAAAGTACCAAACAAAATGGTCTCTCAGTATCTGTATTGCAAATCATAATGCCCCAAAGTTGAGAGAGTAAGAGGGAAATTGTCTACCATTGAGGCATGGTGGAATGGGGAGAGACTGGGGACATTGGTGGCAGAAAATGTATGCTGGTAGAAGAATGGGTGTTTGATCATTGTATGACTGAAACTTAAACATGAAAGCTTTGAAACTGCATCTCACGATGATTCAATTAAAAAAAAAACACAAAAAGTCTCCCTTGGAAAGTGATAACAAAACAGTCTAAAGCATAAGTAGGAGCAAGAGGAAGAGAACCTCAATAGAGGGAACACACGTGAAACTGCCTGGAGGCTGGCAGGCCAAGTGACTCTAACTGCATCAGTTGGACAAGCAGCATGTCTACATCAAACCATACCTCTAACTTCAGTCTGAGAGCAGGAAGGAACATTCAAGTCAGGGAAAGTGACCTAGTCAGTTCAGTCAGAGAGAGTTCAATGGAGCAGGCATGTGAACCACATCCTAATTCACTCCTTAGTGGGTAGTTCTGCTCTGAGACATTCTGGAAGAGCCTGGTCCCTAACCATGGATTAGAGACTGCTATGCTCAAAAGAAATAAGGAGACAGTGAGCAGAGGGAAAGGGCTGTAAAACATGTCTTTAGGGTAATTCATGTTTTGTAATTAGTGACCATGTAAGAGCTGTCTGAGGCTTGGAATATTCATAGTCCAATTCCAAAGGCCAATCTTCCCCCATCAATGTTGGATTGTGTATTCTTTAAAAGGATCTTTCCCTTATAGCTTTTCGGTGTTTTTTAAAAGTTCTATTCTTCAATATAGCATAGTGAAAAGGGAGACTAGCAAAAACCCAACCCAGAAGCGTCTTATTGTTAATCCAGGTATCCAACTGGGTCCCTTAAAAGAGCTTGCAGTTCCCATCAACACCCTCTGGCCAGGCTAAGGATTGTGTAACTCTGGAATAAACCCCAAGTGCCACTTACCTTCCACACAGGACACATCAGGAACACAACAGAGTTACTATTAGAACTTCCACTGAAGAAGCAACCTTGGCATCTCCTTACCACAATTCAGGAGTGAGAAAATGAAGACAAGAGGGGTGAGAAAGATAAGGTGTCAAAAGGAATGGAGAGAAAGGAGAGGAAAAAGGACAGGAGACACAGGAAGGGAGACAGAGAACAAACAAGGAGGGAGGCTGAGAGGGAGGAGTCAGATTAAGGAAAGCTTCAGGAAGAAAGAAAAAGAGAGAGGGAATGTGAAAGTGGGGTGCTGATTGGGGTGCTGCAGGGAAAGTGTGGGGTAGGATCCAATAGGAAAAGTGGGACTGCCAATGGGTCTGGATGTTGAAAGCTAATACATAGGGACAAGGGAGGAAAGCAGTCTGTCCTTTCTGTCTTCTTCCTCCATTTAGAGTTTTTGGTGACTAGAGAGCGATAGCACAGCGGGTGGTGCATTCGCCTTGCATGTGGCTGACCCGGGTTCAATTCCTCTGTCCCTCTCAGAGAGCCCGGCAAGCTACTCAGAGTATCCCACCTGCACGGCAGAGCCTAGCAAGCTCCCCATGTCGTATTCTATATGCCAAACACAGTAATAAGTCTCACAATGGAGACGTTACTGGTGCTCACTCGAGCAAATCATTGAACAACGGGAGGACAGTGCTACAAACAGGAAGGACTTGGTCCCCTGGCCTCCTCTGGAGCTTGCAAAGACTGTTGTGTTCCTTTGTGCCAGGTGTGCCAGCCCTGCCCCAAACAGCTATCCCTTCCCTAGTACAGCTGGGAACAGTGTGGGTAAAGGGGGCATCTAAGACATACAGTAGGTAGACCAAGCTCACTGCCTTCAGTCTCTTCCATCCCCAGTCCCAAGCCAGAAAGAAGCTGCCAGCTTGAGACTATCCCATAGCTCTGCCTAAACCTTGTCAGATCTTCCCTGCTCTGATAAAAATCCTTCAGATTTCAGAGTTCAACTTCAGCTTGGCTACAGGCTGAAAGGAAAGCCAAGGGGGAGGGGGACGCAGGGCATCCTGTATGTGCCAGATAGGTAGAAACTGGACTGGGTGCCTGGGCCCACCATGTAAATCTGCAGGGGCTTCATCCTACACTCCTACTGTACACTGTACACAGACAGATATGCTCTGAACCCCACTTTAACTGCCAGGGACTGTGCCTTTAAATTGCTGCTTTCGGAGGGTGCATCTGGGGGGGAGGTGGAAGGGAGGGAAACATCTTGCTACCGGTCTCCCTCCTCCCTCCCTTCCAAGACTCTCTAGGGTTTGGCGAGTGATTGCTGCCCAAAGAGAATCTTTTTTTAGCTCCTGCAAGCAAACCGAAGCCCCCCAGAGTCCTAGGCAAGCCCACACAGGAGCCGAAGCCGAACCAGAGGCGAACAGGAGCCAGAGCCTGTAGGGTTATCTGTGTCATATCATTTTCAGGAGAATAGTTCTGGCCCTGCACGGGTGACACGGGGCAGGAAGAGAAGCAGAAGAGAGAGCACAAAACTCCTCACCCGACCCTCGGCTTCACTGAGAGCAGTCCAAGTTGAAGGCAGACTCCATACGTGGGGCATTTCACCCCGGATATCTCCTCACCTTGGCAGCCAGGCTGAGGAAGGGCACCAGGGTCCCTACAGAATGACAACTCTCCTTTCTGCCACCCTCGCCTTTCTTCTCCTCTGGACTCTGCCAGGGCAGGTCCTCCTCAGGTGAGCAGAATTGGGGTGCGCTGGTGGTGCATGCAGACACTAGCAGGGGCAGCAATGGGGGTGCTGGCATTGTTTCTCTCTAAGTTGGCAAAAAAGCCTATTGAGAGTTCCAAGGGAGGACACACCCTTTCCCCAACTGGGGTTCTGGGGGCCTTTCCAAAGTTAGAGGAAGGGGAATGTTTCTACATAGGTGGGAGCTGTGTGGCATCTCAGTAGCTGAGTCCCAGAAAGGAGTCTACCAATGTGCCCTGCCATCCAGCTTAATCTTCATACCTGCTGGAGCACAGCCCACACAGATGCCTAAAACTCACACCTGACACCTATATGCCAGACACCTACCCCAGCAACTTGAAAAGGCAGAAGTTTGCCCCCAAACCACATGAGGCCAGGGTGGGCTAATGGAACTTTGGCCCTCTGCTAGTGACCTGCCTAGATAGACACAGCTGCTTGTCTTTTCTGGGGGGCACTGAGTGACAGTCATTTCCTGAACTTGGAGGCCAAGACATGTCTTGAGCTCCCTAGAAATGTCCCTTCCACGTTCCTAGTTTCTCATGAGATCAGAATCCAGCTTAGATGGACAGGATGATCTGAGAAGGAACGATGATAATGGCTTAGGATGAACTGATCATAAGAGTGCCTCCTGACACAGGCGGTTTGGGCGAGTGTAAAATATCTTTACTCCTCCTAATGCAAGGAGCACACCAGGACTACTTCTTGTAAGAGACCTAAAGAGTGAATCACAGTCCAAACTGAACTGGCAGCTGAGCTACTTAATGAAAGGAAGGGTGTAGGCAGAAGGGGGTCCCTCTACTGAGACTGGGGAAGGGCTCTGGAGAGAGGAGATTGCCTCCAGGCACAATCTTCAGTGGGAGCATTCCCATGGGGGCTTGGAGGACAGCATGGCCGCAAGACCAAGCTCCTTCACTGTACACGTGGAAACGGAGGCCTCAAAGGCAGGAAGGAGACCCCTGCCCCAGGTCATTCAGATACAGCATCTGAGTTCTCCAACCACCTCCACCTAGCATCTGAACTTGGGGAAGAGACAGTCAACTCTGGAAACTTCTGGGCCTTACTTTGGGTGAGTTTGCTCCAATGAAAGGGGAAATCAGGGGTTATATACAGTGACTCTTCTCTCAGTGCCACAGATAAGGGGGCCTTAGATGAGGGTGGATTTCACAGGGCTTGGGACCCAAGATGTCTGAGTGTATAGCCTGTCCCAGAGTCCTGCAGAAAATATAACCTGAGGGTGGGGTTGGGGATTGTGGCGAAGATCTGGCTATTCCATGTACAGGGTCACAGTGCCTCTCAGTAGGCAGATGGCAGGTGGCCAACAGCACCACATAGCAAGGACAGCCTTTGGGAAATCAACTTCTACTTGCCCCAGATCCTCAGGTTTGAACAGAACATTTAGGCCACATGATCCGACAAGCCACTGCTAGGGGCCAGTGTAGCCTCAGGTGGCAGGGCAAGGGCTTTTTTCTGCTCAGAACCATTAAGAGGACCAGGCTCTCGGAGGTCAGGATGAGGCTGCCACTGACTTTCTTCCACTTTTTCTCTCTGGCAGCCCACCCAGAACAACTTGCATCACCTCGTTTTGCACTTGTAGGTTGCCTCCCCAGCAGTGCTTATGGGGCCCAGGGAATACTCCTGGCAATACTCAGTTAACAATGGACAGTTCAGTGCTTGGGCCTGGAAGTACTGGAGGAAAACAGGGTAGTCTCAGAGATGTTTGAGTCACCACTTAATGGTATGATACTGGGACAAAGGAGTCAGGAGCCACACTTCACGGTACTGGGGTGCCATGCAGTGTCAGGGTTTGAATGAAGGTTTTAGCACATTTCAAGCCTGTACCCAAACTACTGCAGTCCCTCTCACCCACAAGCCCTAAACACATGATTTTAAAGTCAGTAACTCTTTGTTAAAATCTTGATGTTTAATTTACTACTCAGTCTCCTCATCTGTATAATGGGGTTAGCTGAGAGACCTGTATGAAACTAAGTTAGCTAAGGTAAGGAAAGCGTTGCACACAATGCCTTAGCTGTCTATTATTCTGTTGGTTGACGGCTGGAGGAGGAATCAACTGGAAAAGAGAGGTTGGCTAGGGAAAAGGCTCAAAATGTTTTGCATGTGGTAGCACTGGATGCATGAGAGAGCCCTGAAATGCAGATTATACAATTTGACCTTCTTACTACCAAGAACTACCCTCAAGAACTGAGTCAGGAGTAGCCCATGAGAACCACTGGGTGTGGAGCAAAACAAAACAACAAAAAGCAGAGCTTGTCTTATTGAGAATTGGACCAGAATGGTAGCAGCTATTACCTCCCAGTACCACAGTACAGAAAGAGGGCATTAAAGGAACTAGCTCAAACATCTGGCATGGTGGCAATGGCAGGATGGAGCAAGAGACACAGGACCCATCCAGAAGTTCAGCTTGAATTTAAGTCATAAGCCTCATCTCTGTTCAGCAATTAGTCCCTAGCGCATCTACTGACTGATAAGCAAATAAACAGACTGGAAGAAAGGACTTCTCTACTCTTAGAGGAAAACTTTTCAGGGGTTGCTGGTCTTTAGCCACTCCGCCCTTCTCTCAAAATAAAAATATTAGAGGCAAAAGGATGGAAGTTGAACTTCTCATCATGGCCACCCTACTGGGAGGCTTTACATGTTCCTATAGCTCAGTTTCCCCCCTTTTTTGCCAAAGTTAAGTTCACCAGCCTGCAGCTGCCATGGCTCTGAATAGAGGAACAACTCCCGACATTGCTTCCTGCTGCCACAGTTGCCAGAAGCCAAATATCCTTTTTCAGAAGCTGACTCGTAGCTCCTGAGCTGATAAGCATGGAAGTCACACAACTAAAAGCAATCCTCAGGATGACAAGCTATCCTTGAGTCCTTTCCATACTTGGGGAGGCCAGATGGGCAAAAGCAGTAGGTTGTGACTTTTCCTTGCTTGCTTTCAAAGCACCTTCAAAAGGACAACACTGGCTGTAGCCTCAGCTTTGGGTTGGAGTGCTGACTTCATTACTTTGCTAGCTCTGAGACTTTGGGGAGTCACTTCAGTAGAAACCATTCTTCTACAAAAATGGAAATAATGGCCCACCCCCTGAGAATTGTGAAGGTAAAAACACTTTCCTGGGACTAACTGCTGGGCTGCTATGTTGCCTTATGGTTGTTTTTGTTCTCCTCATTTTGAAAACAGGCACCCAGAGACCCATCTTTTTCTGTCCTCCTGTCTGATGGGAAAAGTAACCAGAAGTGTGAGGAGAAGGGAAAGAGAGGTTCTATGATAAATGCAGAAGGCTGGCCTCAGATTTCTTCATCTCTCCTCTTCAGGGTGGCCTTGGCAAAAGAGGAAGTCAAATCTGGGACCACAGGTTCCCAGTCCATGTCCCCCTCTGATTTCCTAGATAAGCTTATGGGGCGAACATCTGGATATGATGCCAGGATTCGACCCAATTTTAAAGGTAAGAAGCATGCATCCTAAAAACTAACCCCCCCTCCCCATTCCTTCAGAGGATACATTACTGCATCAGTTCCCATCATCTGTCCCAAGAAAAGGAAACTGGAGAAATAGGGATAGTCTCACACCTAAGAAAATGCCTCCCCTCCCTACTGCTCATGGATCTATATAACTGGTCCTGAAACCTCTCCCAGCAGTGTCCTGGCCTCAAGCTCAGGGAGGAAATCCTAGAACCTACTTCTATGTAGAATGTCCTGCCAATAAGGCTGTGCTTTGGTACTCTTAGGTCCACCTGTGAATGTGACCTGCAACATCTTCATCAATAGTTTCAGCTCTGTCACCGAGACTACCATGGTAAGGTGTCTCCTTATTTCCTATTTCCCTTCTAGCATGAATGAGAGAAGCTCACCAGCAAACCTTGTATCCCTCTGTAGTTCTCTGTCAGTTTTGTGGTCATGGCTAAAATCATGGGATGTCTTACGTTGGTCATCAGGGTGAATTGGTGCAGAACACAGGATTTTTATATTTTTTATTTATTTATTTATTTATTTAATGAATCACTGTGAGGTACAGACTTAAAAACTTTCTTGCTTACTTTCCAGTTATAACAATGATTGAGTGGCCATCCCTCCACCAGTGCCCATTCTCCACCACCAATATTTCCAGTATCTCTTGCACCATCCCGACCCCATCCTCCCCCGCTCCACCCCCACCTCTGTGGCAGACGCATTGCCTTTTACTCTCTCTCTCTCTCCTTTAGACTGTTGTGGTTTGCAATGCAAGTATTAAGTGGCCATCATGTTCGGCCTATAGTCTACTTTCAGCACACCTCTCCCATCCGGAGTGGGTTCTCCAAGCATCCTTTACTTGGTGTTCCCTTTTCTATCCCAGCTGCCTTTTCCCCCAGCATGTGAGGTTGGCTTCCAAAGCATGGAACAATCCTCCTGGTCCTTATCTCTACTATCCTTGGGTGTTAGTCTCCCATTCTGTTACTTTATATTCCAAAAATGAGTGCAGTCCTTCTATGTCTGTCCCTCTCTTTCTGACTCATTTCACTTAGCATGATACTCTAAATGTTGATCCACTTATATGCAAATTTCATGACTTCATCTTTTCTAATAGCTGCATAGTATTCCATTGAGAACACAGGTTTTAGAATCAGTCAAGCCTGTGTTTCCATCCAGTCTACCATCAATTAGTTGAGTAAAGTACATCACAATCACAATCACAACCATCCTGTTATTCGTCGATTGCCTCGAGCAGGCCCCAGTAACGTCTCCTTCGTCCTAGCCCTGAGATTTTCTTAAAAAGTGCCATATTCAAGGCTCTTTCAGAGTTAGGAGAATGAGACCCTTCATTGTTACTGGTATTTGGCATATTGGGTACACCACGGGGAGTTTGCCAGACTCTGCCATGTGGGCAGGTTATTTAAATCTCTGCTTTAAGTTGCTTCATCTACAAAATGGGGGTCATCATAATGGCTCCCTTCTCACTGGTTCGGTGTGAGATTGATTCATTATCATGAAAAATTTAAATGAGGTAATTCATAGAAAGTAAACGCTTAACAGAGAGACTGGCACATAATATGTGCTTAGTAAGTATCCATTGCCATATCTCCCCAAAGGAGACTCCTTTTCCACAGGAAAATGCCTAATGCCCCTGAAAAGTACTTCAGGTATTTCCATAGCACTCCTGCTTTGTGAGTTTGCTGAGCCCCTTCCTGGGCATTGCCTCTCAAGGGCTTATCTTTGTACCCTCCCAGGACTACCGGGTAAACGTCTTCTTGCGTCAGCAGTGGAATGACCCCCGTTTGGCATACCAAGAATATCCTGATGACTCACTAGACCTTGATCCCTCTATGCTGGACTCTATCTGGAAGCCAGATTTGTTCTTTGCTAATGAAAAAGGGGCCAACTTCCATGAGGTGACCACAGACAACAAGTTACTGCGCATATTTAAGAACGGGAATGTGCTCTACAGCATCAGGTGCACCTGCTGGTTAGCCAGGAGGATCTGGGTCAGGGGAAGCAAGATGGAGGTTGAAGGGTGGGAGGAGGGTCTCCTGTACTGCGGTGGATCCTTTAAGCCAATATCACTTCTTTTTTACTATCCGTGTTAGGCTGACCCTCATTTTGTCTTGCCCAATGGACCTCAAGAACTTCCCCATGGATATCCAGACATGCACAATGCAGCTGGAGAGTTGTAAGTGTTACTAAAGTCACTGTGAGGCGTGGGACACTAGCCAGTGACCCCTATCTCCAGGATATTCCAACCAAGAGAGGGGAGGGACTACTCTAAGCATGCACAGTCAGAAGCCTAGAAGTCAAGACTTGTTAATAACCCCCAACCCACTATGTTGCCCCATCCCTACTTTATTTGCTATCTGGCTGTTCCACAGGGCTAGAGAATGGGGAAATGCCAGCATTATATACAAATGTGCCTACACTGATTGGTGTGGGTGTGAAGGGTAATTTAAGGGATACCTCCTCTACTCAAACATATGTTTCTCTCACAATGCCTGAAGTTGTTGTCTCTTTACTCCCTCTGAGTTAAGACATTTCAAATGCCTGTGAATATGCTAGAGTTGGCAGGGAGGGTTTACTCTTCAAATCCCTATTCCTCATGAGTAAAGATGACTTTTGTAAAGAAGATGAAGATAATAGTTGTAGATAAAGGACTGCTCAGTCACAGGCTAAAATATAGCATAGGTACAACTTGCAGGCTAAACCATCAGTTCTGTCAGGCGTTCCCAAACTATTTGGCCTACTGCACCCTTTTCAGAAAAAAACAATATCACTCAATGTCTACCCACTTTCTTTAAGTGAACAAACAGAGTGCTGCCTAATTGCTCTTGAAGTGACTAACACCACCTTAATCAGTACAGTACCCTTCAGGGCGGTGACATAACCTACTGACATGCCTTTTTTTTATCACCTCCTAAGTGAGGTAAGACTTTGAGAACAGGAGACATCCACGTAGTTCTTAGAGAAAAGCACTTGTCAAGCTGTACCTAGCATGTAGTAAGTAATGGATATGATGTGTCCTGTGTGATCAGCTCTTTAGAGTCCATATACCACTTTCATGACCCATATCCTGACTATTTTCTCTTTACCTTTCACAACTCTGAAAGGTAGGTGAAACATTCTGCAAAAGGGGAAGCGACCTGCCCAAAGTCACATAGCTACTCTTGGTTAACATCTGTGAGCATCATTGTTTCCGCTCCCATTTCGAATCCTTGTGTGATTATGGTCATGTATGTGGTAGGAGCCTTTATGAATTTCTGGCAATCTGAGAGCAATTTGGTAAATTTAGAAGTTAGCTCTCAATTTGTTCCAGTTCAGGAGGCCCTGTCAGAAGCTGTGGTGTGCACATTGTTCCAGACATTACATAAACAATTTTCTCCTCCCTGGAAGGAGGTGACAGAAGCCCTGGCTCTGAGGTTAGCTCAGTTCAAAACATGTGGTCGATACACATGCTTTACTCCTCTGGGATTGAGACATGGCAGGAGTATTGCAGAACAGTTTCTTGACATCTTTCCAACCCTTCTGCCCAGCTTTCTAGGTCTTCCTATTAATCTCTATTAAGGCATTTTTAAAGCTTAGGAGCTAGACAATAGAGGAGTCTGGAATCTTTCTGATTATCCTAACTCATTTAGGATAGGCCCCGGAGGGAGTTAACCAAGTACCTCTTCAGAAAGGTTTCCTTTCTAAAATGAGCATGAAGTTCCTAAAACCCAAGCCTTATACCTCACCATTTTTTCCCCTGCCAGTTCCAACTTTCGTCCTATCCTTACCCAATGCCCACTCTCTGTAGCTCTCTGTTATCTTTGTGCCTTTCAGTTGGTTACACCATGAACGATCTTGTGTTTGAGTGGCTAGAAGATGCTCCTGCTGTCCAGGTGGCTGAGGGTCTCACTCTGCCCCAGTTTATCTTGCGTGAGGAGAAGGATCTAGACTACTGTACCAAGCACTACAATACAGGTAAAATCCCAAGATCCTTAATGGCTCTGAGCCAAAGGAGGGTCTCTGGATTATAGGAATGGAGGTAAGGAATTCAGAGTCTGCTGAAGGTCCAATCTGTGCTAGACATGGTGTCATGTGCTTCAGATGCCGTATCTCACTATGATAGGGATGACAAAGGTCATTTTTTCAGAAAACTGAAGTGCTCTGAGGTTAAATCAATTGTCCAGTCACACACTAGTAAATGGATGATTTAGAATTCAAGTATAAATCTGCCTAAATCCACAGCCTACACTCTTGTCCCTATTACAAGCTGTGAAGCAAACAGACATGTGCCAATGGCAAGAGTCTCCCACCTTTCCTAAGAAATCTACATCTAGAAGGGAAATCTACATTTGAGAGTTGTCAATAGTTGCACTGAGCCAGGAGGGAGTATATCAGGGCACTGGTTAGCTTACCCATCCCACCACTGCCACCACTGCCCTACTTCCATGAACTGGCTTGTTTCCCCAGTTGTGAAAATATGGGCCTCAAAGGGCAGAGAGGCTAGTTTTTTAGACTGAGTGCCTGACATCTGCCACATCCCTAAGAGCTGCTGTTTCCTCTACCCTGACAATTTGGCTGTAAAAAGGTATGATTCTGATAGGTCATAGACTGGAGGAGGGAGACTGTGGTTTTCCTCCATAGTGTGCTTATATGCTGTGGGTGCCATTCAATGAATATATGTGCTCACACATGTGAGCTAATGTGGAGAGAGGAATATACCACTGGATTTAGAAAATGCCAGTGAGATGGGAAAACTGGTCTAACCTATTTTGGGAGAAAAAAAGCTGGCAATTGTATATAGGTCAGTGGTTTGCAAACTTTGGTATACATTATATTCCCCTTGGGAGTCTATTAAAATGTTGATTCCTGAGCTCCAACTCTCAGAGGTTTGGGTTATATGCACTTGGAATAATATCCCAAAATCTTCATTTAAAAAGTGATCATTCTGATACAGGTGCTTCCGGAGACATATTTTGAGAAACTTTAGTCCAGAGGCTACATTTTCCCCACTAGGATTTTCATTTTTTGGAAGTGAAATTATAAGGAACTATTTCAAAATCATATTGACTTTATATCCCATGAGGGCACATCGTTCACTATTTATACCGGCAATCATTTGTAAGTATTCTGAATATATACCAATAGGGTAGAAACTAAACTAAATGGTACATCTGATTGATGGAATATTAGTCAGACATTTACAAGAATGCTTACAAAATGTTTATATCAATGTGGGGAATTATAAGTGGGAAAGGCTGAGATTCAAAGTTGTGGTAAGAAAGAAACCAACTGTGTTTAAAAATTCTGGACAGAAACAGCACTAAATGTTTCTAAAGTAGTATGATAAGAATAAGAATTTTGGGTTTCTAAATCTACCATTTACTAGTTGGGTACCCTTGAAAAACATAATTTAATCTCTTCAAGCTTCTTCATCCATATCAGCAAAATGAGAAATAATTATATCTTCCCCCAAAAGCTACTAAGAAATTTAAATGAGATAAATTACATAAAGTAAGAAGCATTTAAAAGGAACCCGGTAAGTCTGACTTTATGAATATTACACACTTGTTTAGTACTTTTTACTATACTAAGCAAGCGTATATTTTCAACTTACAACAAAGTCACTATTACTTTCCCAAAAAGGAATGAAGGGGAGAAAACATATAAATAGGGACCAAAGAGATAGTACAGTGAGTAAGGCACTTGCCTTGCATACCACTGACCCAGATTTGATCCCCAGCACCCCATACAGTCTGCCAAGTACCACCAGGATTGAACCCCTAAGTGAAGAGACAGGAGTAAGCCCTGAGCAGCCCCAGGTGTGGCTCACAAAAAACCAACACAAATGGAAACCTAACAAAGACATACCAAGAAGCCCAAGACATACCAAGAAGGTGGGGTGAGGTGAGATGGATCCAGGGAACAGTAGGAGATCACAGCATCATACAGCATATTGAATCATACAGCATACTGAAGCCATCAGTCATTGCTAAAATCACTAGCCTGAGAAAACAGATAGGCTTAGTAAGTGCAAGTGTATACCAGAATATTGTAACAACACACACATCCTGATTTTTTGCTTTGGTTATCCTAAGCCTCTGCTTCAGGGAAAAGCTGTGAGCTGGTGTTTTCTTTGTGTCGGGGTATAGAAAACAGGGTAAAGTGAAAATGGCTGGCTTAAGAGGCAGTACATGAATCTAGGGCCAATACAACTGTTTGGTGGTTGGAGTGTGGCGCTTCCTGATTCTCTATGAAAACCCAGTGCTCACTGTCCACAAAACTGGTCTCTGTTGGATATTGTTTACAGATGTTTGCTATCCAGCAATTCTCCCTTGCTTAAGACACAGGGAGTATTTATTTCAGTGAATTGTTGTTTCAGAGAGCTTCAAGGGTACCAGTAAGCTCAAGCAAGGCTGCTGAGATTTGAGTCAGTCTAAGTTCATTGCTTTGTTAACAATGATAATAATAGTACCAGCTACCTATGTGCTCAACACCTCAAACACATGATCTCATTCAATTCCTACAATAGCGCATTGAAGGAGTCCATATTATTGTTCTACAGGCAAGGAAAGTGAAGCTCAAAAGTTTGGGCTTTTTGCCTCAGGACACAGTAAGTGGAAAGTTCAGGATTCAAAAGTCTGGATCTTGAGTCCTCTTAATCCACTTGCTGCGCTGTCACGTGAAAGAGTTCATACTGGAAATCCAAGTACTAGGAGCAAGAGATCAAGTCTTTGAGGGTTTGCTGACAGCTTCCTCAGAACCTATATCGGATATTCCCTGGGGCCTTTTAATTAACCTGACACTATTTTTTGGCAAGCTACCGAGAGTATTCGATATGCCAGACACAGTAACAACAAAGTCTCCAATGGAGACGTTACTGGGCCCGCTCGAGCAAATCGACGATCAACGGGAGGGCCTTTACCTTTTTATTTTTTGTAATTGATTTTTCACTGATTGACAGTACACATGGGACCTTTTTGATGTTTATTTGTTTTGTGTTTGGATTTTTTCTGGCATGAGGAATTGAACCCAGAGCCTCACAAAGCAAGGTGAGTGCCCTACCACTTAGTCACATCCCAGGCATTGGAGTCAGTTTGAAATGCTTATTCACTGGCCCCAGCTGAGGTGCCCAAAAGCTGACCCAGAGAGATGGGACTGACCGACTCCGGTTTCTCAAATAGAACAGCAAACTGCCGACCCAGAGTTTGATTTGTCCTCTTTTTCTTTGTAGGAAAATTTACCTGCATTGAGGTAAAGTTTCATCTGGAACGACAGATGGGCTACTATCTGATTCAGATGTATATCCCCAGCCTACTCATCGTCATCTTGTCCTGGGTCTCCTTCTGGATCAACATGGATGCTGCACCCGCCCGTGTTGGCCTAGGCATCACCACGGTTCTCACCATGACAACTCAAAGCTCTGGTTCTCGGGCTTCTTTGCCTAAGGTGAAGAGACATAGAAGGAAATTTATTTTCCATAGTGTTTCCTATTTCCCATTCATATTCTGCTCCTTCCCTTCTCACTGTTTTATTTGGATTTAAGATAGAAAGCAGGACTGAGTAAGAATAGTTTGCTTATAACTCTTCTCCCAATAGACTGTTAATAACATTGTAACAATGCAGAACCTAGGGTATTGATCCTATCTGGCTAAGGAAGCAAAAAAGAAAATGCCTGATTAATTTGACTTTCATTAGGAAACACTAGCATGTCCAAGATCAAAAAGTCTGTTAGCAAGTAAAAAATCCCTCTCCCTCATGGGACAGCTAGGGAAAAATAAGCTCAGAGAGTGGATGACCTCATCTAAATCATGCCCCAAAGATATAATCAAAGAATTACAAAAGTTTTTAAACTATGTCAGAAGCCAGATACTAACTCAAAGACACCGTTCACTCTGTTGGGGTGAGAAAATTTTGAGGTAACAAATAATAGATTCAATGCAGTCTAGTGATTGTCTGGAGCCTGGTAGTAGTTAGATTATGCAGAGATTTGTGCTGATGATACTGGGGCCAGATTCTCCCTGCCTCATACCTTTATGTAGGAAATCCAGAGGTCACCTCAGAGTTCTGATAGCAAGGCTCTGAGAGAATAGGGGTGGGGGGGTCAAACACATTCATTCCCTCAAACATTTATTGGGCATGTAGTATGTACTAGGAACTATACTGGACCATGGAGAAAAATGGAAATCAGAAGCAGCACATTTCCTTATTATAGACATTACAGTGAATATTTGTCTCCTGCTCTGACTTGATAGGAATGAGACCCTTCATAAATTATCTCCCAGATCTTACTACGAAAATGTTTACTGGAGACTTAAACAGAGGTTAACATGGGAATCCATAGTGAATTTACAAATTTGGTATATGGAAGAGTACAGGACTTAAGGATAGTTTTAGGCAGATTTTGGTTCTTAAATCCATCTTGGCATTTACAAATGGAGACTATAGGTATTTGTGGATACTGAAGGTCAAATTCTGGGCCGATAACATGGGACTAAGAACATTACTCATATTGTAAGTACAGAAGATAAAAAACGATAATATATTGAAACGAAGAAGGATTTGGTGCTTAATCATTACTTAATAAATACTAGATACTTCTATAGTAATTAAGGGCCATGATGAGTGAAATATATTTCTATTATTTTTGGGATTCTGGGAAGCACTTGAGGTAATGCAAAGCCCTATAGGTATATATACAGTGATAAAGTTCAGAAATAGAATCAGGTGTGCCAGGGAAAGCTGACATAGATATTTCCTATAAATGTGTTCCCTAAACAAGGATATTGAAGGGCCGCTGAAAAACCAACTGGGTTTAAGCAAAAGGTACAAGGCTGGGCAGAGAGCTATTATGGCCATGTGGTGATATTGTTCTGTGTGAGAAACAGAGATAAAAATAGTTCAGACCTAAGAATCCTGTTCTAGTAAACTGACAGTGCCACACAATGGGGTTCTTCCTGGGGTTGGAGTGATAGTACATCAGGTATGGTGCTTCCCTTGCATGATGCTGACTCAGGTTCAATCCCAGACACCACATATGGTCCCCAGCTCCCTATCAGGAGAGAACCCTGAGGGTAGAGGCCAAGATTAAGCCCTAGCACCATCAGGTGGGACCCAAAAACCAAAAAGAAAGGGGAGAGTTCTCTCTAACTTACAAGGTGGTACATATTATGTCTTTAAACTTGTCAAAAACACTTCCTTTTCCACCACTCCACTGTGAGTCAGGATAATCCATCTGCTCTAAGGAATTACTTCCATCATTTGGAGAAAAACAGACTTTGTTGGAGGATTGTTTGCAGTAGTATTCTGTGCCCTCTCATTAGATATTGGTGGCTTAGCTAGCCATAAACAAAATACATAGACAGCCAACTAAATTGAAGACCCTCATTGATTAGCCTCACAGAGAAAGCAACTGAGTCACGGAACTTATACTCACTCTTGAATTCATGGAACAGTATATTTGGTAGAGGGCCCAAGGAAAAAGACAGGGCCAGGTCAGGGGCTTCTAAAAACCACACCAATCCTATCTACCAATATAACTACAGATAAGGTCAAGATGAGAGAAGCAGAGACTCACATTGTAAGGGAACTAGGTTGGGGTGGTCCAGTTTATGTTCTCAGGAAATCATTTCCTTTTTGCCTTTATGAGGGACCTCAAGAGCAATGATTATTGTCTCTTTGCCAGGCTCTTAATCCACACCTCTGTAAGTGGACTAGTGCAGAACAAAAAGAAAAAAAAACAAATTTCTATCAGAGATGGTCAGGAAAAAACTAAAATTACAGCAGAAAGTGGAGAGCCAGTTCTCTCATGATCCCATAAACTAAATGACAGAACACTTGGAGTAGGAGGGGCAAAGAAGATAAAGAGAATAAGCAGAAAAGCCATTGGAGACTAATTTATATTTAGACCATCTATCCATTCATTCGGTCAAAAAATATTTGCTGGAGCTAGTGGGGAAATAGTTCAAGTAGTATAACCCTGTTAAATTCTCAGCACTGCAGTTTAGTGGCCTCCAAACATGGCTAGGAAAGAGCGTTTAAGCCACTCAGCAGAGAATAACTTGGCATAGTCCCTATAAATTTATTTGCTATGCCCCAGGAATTCATATACACTTGGGGGATAGAACAGTGAAAACAATGCACACTGGGGACATGATAGTGAACACATATGATAGAAAGTACTGCCATCAAAGAGGCACAGACTATTGAAGGTAATGGCCAGGTATGCTTAATGAATGAGAAAATTTAAGTAATCTGAACACATATATCACAGGGACAACCAACTTGGATAATTAGGAAAGGCATCCTAGATGAGGTTGTATCTAAAGTAAGTGTTTAAGTAAAAATAACAAAGTATAGGAGACAGAGGCAGATTGTGTCATTGAGAAACTACTGAAATACTCACCATTATAAAGTCAAATATTGCAAGGGGTAGGCTGAAGCTAAGAAAAGCAGGCAGGATCTAGATGAAATACTAAGGGGAACAGTAACTGTATCATAAGGATAACAGAGCTACTTGGGGGTTTTAACCAATGGAATCATAAGATTAGGTTTACATTTGGAGGGTTACACATGGCAGTACTCAGGGAACCATGTGGTGCCAAAGAATGAACCAGGGTTGGCTGCATGCAGGGCAAGTATCTTAACCTTTGTACTATCTCTCTGGCCCTAGATTTACATTTAAAATACAAAATACACTAGAGGCTGGAATGACAGTACAGTGGTAGGACACCTGCCTTGTACTCAGCTGACCTGGGTTCTATAGCCAGAACCCCATGTGTTCACCCAAGCCCACCAGGTATGATCTAAAGTGCAGAGCCAATAATCAGCCCTACCCAAGTTTAAGCCCTGAGTACTGCCGGGTGTGGCCAAAAAAAAAAACCACCAAATAAAAAACACTGACTCCTGTTTGGAGAACAGACTGAAGGTGACAAGTGTAGATGCAAGAGACCATTGAGGAAGTAGCTGCAGTCCTTCAGATGACCTGAGATAGTTATTGGATGAATTCCAGAGACATTTAAGGTATGTTATTGACATTTGTCATTAAGAAAATCTTCTTTGTCTCTTTGTGATCCTTTTCTTTTGATGATTCCAAGCCCTTCATGGATCTCCCTTGCCACTCCCTCATTATTATTTCTTACTTGAAATATTTAGTATATTATCATTTTACTGTGGTGGGAGCTATGCCTAATGGTGCTATGGGGTCATGCCGTACAATAAATTGAACCCAGAGCCTCACACATGCAAGGTATGTGTTCTACTTGGGCCATGGCCCATCATTATTTATTTACATAGCAACTACTTGACATTCCTGTAATCACAGTGAGACTGTGAGATAATTAAGTAGAATGTTATCTTAGAAGTTGGGGAAATGGAAACACAAGGATGCTTAATTAGGGTTTCCTGGAAACATACTACCTCTGTGGAATTGTCCTAAAAGTTATAAGACAGAGTTTCTGAACCTTAGCACTGCTTCTATTTAGGACCATATGATTCTTTGGAGTGTGTCCATGCATGTGCGCACATGTGTGTATGTGTCAGTGATTAGCAGCATCCCACAAGATTCCAGTAGCTTCTACCACCACCCAAAATTATAAAACCAAATATCCCTGGTTAAGAACTGTTGAAGTGGAAGTTTTTCATTGAAACCTAGAATTGACATCAACTTTACTTCGCAATTAGAACAGAAGGCAATGAAATAGTTTGCCTACCATGAATCCTACTGCTGCTGAGGAGTCCCAGGGGTGAGTTGAGTAGCTTAAAACTAGTGAGCAAATCTGATTGTCAAGTAACTTCATAAACCTGAGTTCTGTCCCACTTCCTAGTCTCACCCAGCTGTAACAATGCTCCAAGAGAAGAGTTCAACATTCATAAAGGGAAACTGGAGAAGAATACTTAAGGTTGCCATGGCAGGCAGTAAGAGCAGAACATAAAGCACTGAAGAGATGTCAACAGGACCTTGAAGTTAGGGGAGTCTGTAGTCAGAATGGGTGGTATTCTTTCAGGTCCCTTGCCCTGTTCTGCTCGTCAGTGTGAGTAATGAGACTCCAACTCACCATGAGCTCAGTTCCTCAGCAGTGACTCTTATGAAGAGAAGCAGAAAATATCATAGGGTCAAATAAGAATTGGGGTGGAGGAAGGAAACGAAGAACCCCTAACCCGATACTGACTGCTGTCTAGGTCAATGGCAACACAATTCAGTTAAAGCCCCAAAATCTATGTCCTGGTGCTACCTTATGACTGGATAAAGCGTTTTCTCCCTAGGCCACAAGTGTCCTCATTCATCTTCCAAGGAAATAATGAACTCTGCCCAATTACCATCAGGTCTGAGAGGTTTCTAGAAGATAACTGAGGGCAAAACCCCCCAGTATTCATGGTCTATGCTGTTTACTGAGAGAAATGAACCAGAAAAGAGGGGCTGGAGAGATAGCACAGAGAGTGGAATGTTTGCTTTGCACATGGTTGTTATGGGGTTGATCCCTGGCACCAATATGGTCCCGAATACTCCAGAAGTGATCCCTGTGCACAGAGCCAGGAGTAAGCCCTGAATACTACCAGATGTGCCTTCTTCCCTTGCCCTCCACCCAAAAAAAGCACAAGAAAAGAATGAAAAGAAGAAGCAGCAGGAGGAGAAACAAAAGTACAAAAAGAATAAAGGAAAAACAGAAAAGATGCATAGGGAGGAAAGGTAGTGATGGGTAGACAGAGCAGAGAGGTGAAGGATGATGGGTAGCCCTATCTCTTTGACAGGGGCTGTCAGACAATGAAGGCTTCATTAAAACTGAGAAGAAATTCAGGATCAGATTTAACAATAGTAAGCAATTGATATGGGTTGGCAACCCACTAGATATATCATGGCCAAGAAAACTGAATGATGTGTTGGATGTTGCAGGTGTCCTATGTGAAGGCGATAGACATCTGGATGGCTGTGTGCCTGCTCTTTGTATTTGCTGCCCTGCTGGAATATGCTGCTGTCAATTTTGTCTCCCGTCAGCATAAAGAATTTATGAGACTTCGAAGAAGGCAAAGGCGCCAACGCATGGTGAGTCTAACTACAGACTGGACATCTTCTTTGTTCTGTACAACTTCCACCCTGTCACATATTCCACAGAAATCCCATCCCCCACTCGCTGCCACATAGGGCTGAAAGGATTAGACATGCAATTAAGAACTCTGATTTCTAGTTACAAATAAGTTAATTACTCTTCAATTCCATTTCCTTATCAATAGGAAAAAAATCCTTGTAGTGAAGGCTAGTAAAGTGGTAGAATGCCTGACACGCGTACCACTGAGAAAAGTGTTAGAACCTTATCAAATAAGTTGGAAAGAGATTGCTTTGATAATTAGTAATGTTTTCTCCTGATACCCCTCTCACCTCCAGGTGGAAGGTACCCCAATTTGCCATAAATTAATTGGTGGTTAAGAACTCGAGTCAGATGCTTTACTATATAAAGGTCTCCTTAGCTAAACTAAGTTGGGATTGAAAAACTACTATTTGCCTCTTCTGGCTATTGGATTTCTTCCCCTTGATCTTCATTGGGTATATTTCAGTCATTGTTGTGAGCTATTCTTATCCCTCATTCTTGCTTGTTAACTCATATTTTTCGAAAGTAGAGTGATCACCTGGAGAAACAGAGTCAGAAAAAATCTTGTTGTCATAACAACAGAGGCTTATTTTCCAAGAAAATAGAGGCTAGTATGTTGTCATGACAACAGAGGTCTCTGAGACACTCTCACCAGAAAAAGTGCCCAATTATGAATAAAATCTTTGCCGAGCTACATAATTTCCTTCACTGTGCAAAGGTTTTTAAATTTAATGAAGTTCCATTTGTTTATTTTTGGTTATGCTGTCTTTGCCACTGTGGCTATCTTGTTGAAGATTCCTCTGAGGTCAATTTCCTGAAGAACTCGGCTGATGTTTTCTTTAATGTATTTTATGGATTCTGGTTTAATCTTCAAATATTTAATACACTTTGAGTTTTTTGGTGAAAGGTGTGGTGTACAGGTCTAATTTCATTTTTCACATGTGGCTATCCAGTTTTCCCATCACCATTTGTTGAAGATATATTCTTTGCTCCACTTTATATGTTTAGCTCCTTTGTTATAGATTAGCTGGCCATAAATCTGAGATTGAAACATTTGCATCTGAAATTGAAATATTGATTGATTGATATGGGCACTAAGAAAAAAGAAATTTTGAAAGAGTTTAGAGAGAATTTATTTTTGTTTAACTTTAATAATTTCTTATAAAATTGGAGGAAAGAACAGCCTCACTATATTTGTGGAGACTAAAGACAAAGACATCATAAAAATTACGTATGGGGTTGGAATGATAGCACAGCAGGTAGGGTGTTTGCCTTGCCTATATGGTCCCCCGAGCACTGCCAGGAGTAATTCCTGAGTGCATGAGCCAGGAGTAACCCCTGTTCATCACCAGGTGTGACCCAAAAAGAAAAAAAATTATGTATGTTTCCCTAAATCACAACATCACAATATCTACCAGTGAATAAACACACTTTGGCTCTGGTCTTGCTATTATTAATATATATAATTGAATTCAGAATTTTGTAGCACTGCACTGTAGCACTGTCCTCCCATTGTTCATCAAGTTGCTCAAGCGGGCCTAGTAACGTCTCTTTTACGCAACTTGTAGTTACTGTGTTTGGCATATAGAATACGTCATGGGGAGCTTGCCAGGCTTTGCCGTGCGGGCGAGATACTCTCGGTAGCTTGCTGGGCTCTCTGAGAGGGGCAGAGGAATCCAACCTGGCTAGGCTGGGCCGGCTGCATGCAAGGCAAATGCCCTACTGCTGTGATATCGCTCTGGCCCAGATTAATATTTAGAAAGACTTATATACCAGGTTAAATTTGAAACTAATAGTAAAAGAGGTAATTCTGATAAATAAAATAAGACTTTTATTATATCATTCATTTATTTTCAACTGTTTTATTTAATCACTGTGAGACAGACCCTTACAAAGGTGTTCATGATTAGATTTCAATCACCCAATATTTCAACACCCATCCCTCCACCAGTGTACGTTTCCCAGCACCAGTATCTCCAGGTTTCCTCCCACCACCCCTTCACCCCTTACCTGTTTTTTCTCCCTCTCCCTCTCTCTCTCTCTCTCTCTCTCTCTCTCTCTCTCTCTCTCTCTCTCTCTCTCTCTCCCTTCCTCCCTCTCTCTCTCAGGGCTTTCTAAACAAGTTGAAATGTGGGCTGAATATAAACAATGAGTGAAGGTTTGATTTTTAAGGAGCTGATAAAGTCACATAAAGGCAATGCTCCCTGTTCCTTCACAAAATATGCTCATTTATGCCCACTCCATTGCTAATAACTCCCACAACACAGCCATTTGCCTTGCTTCCCAGCCCAAATGACATTAAGATTGCTTGAAAGGCCATTATATATACGGCCCAACACTCACCTCTCCTCAGGTCAGAGATGGTTTTAACCTCAGGTGATTTCTTTCTTAAGATCACTGAATCTTTTACTTCTATAAACCTCAGTACTTAAGAATTGTCATTATCAGGCTGGATAAATAGCTCAAAAGGCTGAAGAATCAGCTCTGCATGTTGAAGCCCCAGGTTCAATCCCCCTAGCATTGTCTGGTCCCAACCTGGGCACTGCATAGTTACATACCCAGGAGCAATCCCCAAGCACCACCAGGGTTGACCTAAAAAAACAAACAAACAATAAAGAAAAAAATAAACCATCAATGAAGGATTTCTAGGTTCTGATATATATTTACTGTACTCTACCTAATGTCCAAGCAAATGAGACATCATTTTTGATGACAGTGTGTCCTTTAGAAGTAGAACAAAGTGGGGTGGGGGCTACTGATCAATTTGATTCTCTCTCATTCTCAAATATGTCATTTTATATATAGTCTCCTATATTTCACATATAAACAAATATATATGTACATATATACACTTCTGGTTCTAAAACTGTGTTACAACTATTTAAGGTTGCCAGCTGCCTAGTGGATATACGAACTTTCTGTAGTCTGCTACATTACTTATGGTTACATAAACTTTATCTTCCCAGTGTTCATGTATTTATCATAATGCATTCTTTTCACACAAATGGAAAGTGTATTGGATAATAAAAGCTTCTCTGTATCCTCTGGTCCCTGTATGGAAATCTGCATATCTACAGAGAAGCATAGCATAGGTATCGACAACAGAATAATCAACCTTATTCTGATTATGATAGTCCATGACACTAGGTTTTTTTTAAAAAAAGACTTTTCTAATTTTCAACTGAGTTAAGATAATCATTTTTTTTCTCTTGGGGTGGGGGCCTCCCATGCAATCCTTGGGAGCTCAAGGTTACTCCCAGTATTAGTTGGCTAATGGGAACAGACTGTTAAGCGCTTGGGCCTGGTGTTGTTCGAAGCCACCAGGGGTATACCCAGCAAAGCTGGAGGAACCATTCAGTACCAGAGGTCGAACTGACTTGAGCTTCTAGAGCCTAAATCAATAAATGTTTAAGATACTATGGCAAAAGGACAAAGCGAAAGTACAGCAGGTAATGTGATTGCTTTGTACATGGCAAACCAAGGTTGGATCTCTGGAATAACATATGGTACCCCAAGCATCACCAGGAATAATCCCTGAGCAGAGAGCCAGGAGTAAGCCCTGGGCACCATAGGGTGTGGCTTCCCCCCAAACCAAAAATGATACTATGCAAATTAGAATTTAATTTTACACATTTTAGAAGTTATTAAATCAATTTTACAAAGTCTAAATGCCTCAGTTGTACTTTCTAAATAGTATACTGACCTTTATCCTGTTTTATTTCCAATCACAGACTATTTGACTTTGTAAAGTCCTTCTCATAGCAAGTGACACTTCATTGGAGTTTAGATGATTCTAAACAATGTTATGCATTTCAAAAAGGCAGCTTAGAGCCTATCTTCAAATGTAATCATAACATATACAAAGCATGTATACCATCTATCTTGTGAGCAATTTTGTGACTATATAAAATCTTGCAATTGGCCTCTGTACCCAACCATCATATCTGCACAGCATCACCAATGAGATATTTGTTTGGCCTGGTTTCTATCTCTCTGCCTTTTCTTCCGTATAATTTTAGGAGGAAGATATCATCCGAGAAAGTCACTTCTATTTCCGAGGCTACGGTTTGGGTCACTGCCTGCAGGCAAGGGATGGGGGTCCAATGGAAGGACCTGGCATTTATAGCCCCCAAGCTCCAGCTCCTCTTCTGAGGGAGGGAGAAACTATGCAGAAGTTCTTCGTGGACCGAGCCAAGAGGATTGATACAGTCTCTCGAGCTGTCTTCCCTTTCACTTTCCTCATCTTCAACATCTTCTACTGGGTTATCTATAAAGTGTTGCGATCAGAAGATATCCATCAGGCACTATGAATAGAATAGGGAGCTATGGAGTCCCCTCCAGAAGCTGTTGGCTTGCTGCTTCTTCCTGGGTGGGCATTCCCTCTCTGTTAGATTTCATAGGGGCCTTATAAATTTCTTCCTAATCAGAACTTCAATGGCCAATCCTAAAGCTATGTTGGTCTACCCTGCAAGGTGCCAATGATGGTATATACTTAGATGGTTTATCTTCCCTAAACTAGGTCTTCTCTACACTGTACTATTTCTTACAAGGAAGATTTGAACATTTTCCTGGGTCAGGATGTCCTTCTTCCCTTGCAGGAGCCTATTTGTTCTTCAGTTTTCCAGTGAATAATATTCAAACTACTATTATGAAATTCATGCATTTCTTGTCTTATTTGTACCACCAGTCATCTCATACTCAGAGCTTGGCCTTTACTCTCTGTCATGCCTATCAGAGAATCAAATATGGAACCTTTCACATCCAGCAGGGCTCTCCTATGTGACTCAGTCAGGATTAGTCACTTGAGGAATGAAGTCAAGATGACAGCAAGACTGAAACAGTTACGGGCTGTATTGGGATAGTACACTAATATATGACCCAATGAGAGGTTTTTAAGTCTCCTAAGAAAGCTTAACATTGTCAGAATAGGATCAAAGAATTATGAATTCTCAGAAAGACCCCTTTTTCAGATTTACCTGAACTTCCTTGTCTTGGAAAATTTAAATTTATTCACTAATTCAGTATAGTGGCAGGGTATATTTGACAGATGGGCAATGGTAAGTGCTTAATAAGAAACTTACCTGACGATGCTGGAAAATATTCAAGAAAAGTGAGATCCATGTAATAGGACCCAGGAGGAGTAGAAGAACCCAAGAGAAGTAGAAGGACCCAGGAAGGGTAGAATGCACAAACTATCCTCAAAGTCTTTTGTTGGTTGCAATTGTGTGTTTCTTCTTTTCTCTAATTTCTTTATTTCCCATAACACTTTGTTCCTTTTAGAGATCAAATAACACTGACAAGCAACCTTGTCCAGAATTACACAGGTTTCAGGATTACTAGAGAGGAACTAGGTATATATGCTGAACAAACACCAACTTGATGAATCTCAAACTAGTTATGTAAGTCAGAGAGCTCTAAGTCAATACTGTTCCTTTATCACTCCATTATAAAGGTAGCATTCAGGTGGGACATGAGAAGCCTGAGTCTAGCACACAAAGTCCTGTGAAATCACCTGCTGGTGACAAATTTCAAAAGGTAAAAGATTAAAGTAAAAGGCAGGGGAACTTCAAGGAGACAAAGGTAATCTAATGATCACAAACATCTCTCCCCACCCCATCCTCCCTCTTCCCTCAGATTTTTTCTCCCTGCCTCTCTTCTTCCCTCCCTCTCTCATCATCCCTTACTCAAAAAGCTGCACAAAATCAAAAGTTTATAAATTCAATAACCAATGAAATTCTTACAGTCAAACCAAGAACTCGGCTTTCTTTCCCTGTTTTCCTACTGAGCTTGTTTGATCTTTCCTGTTCATGGATATACTTTTCTTGGATTTAAGGAAAGCATTTTGAGCTGAGTGTAGTAGCTGGGCCAGAAATCATTTTGATGATATTCATTATAACTATGGTAACAAGATGATTCAAATGTAAAGAACAGGGTTAAGAAAAGAGATTGAATTAATAGGGCAGAGTCACTGTTTTCCTATTTCTTCCTAGGTAATGTCAATAAATGAGAGGACAGAAGCAATACCCTTTTGAAAGGAGCAGAGAGTATCTCTTTGATACTCTCCATGGTGGGGCTGGGGGTGTCAGGCTGCTGCAGCCCGAAGGCGGGAATAGTGGAGCAGGCTGGGGGGTGGAGGGGGGGCGGACTATGGAGATGAGCTTATTACACAGAGCTTTACTTGTTAGAGATCTTGTCCAGATGGGCCAACTGCACAAATCTGCCCTGTTGGAGCGCTCAAGAACAATGCCCTGGAGACAGCTACAGCACTGAGCAATAGATCCTGCCCAACTGGACTAAGCTCAGGGTATCAGCTGGTGCTGGAAGCCAAAGCAGCCAAAGTACCAACCAACATAATAGTCCAAAGAAGTTCAAAAGCTACTCAGATGCAATGCCAGGTGGAAGATACTGTCAGTTTATAAGGGAGGCACACTGTGTTAGCATCAGGTACAAATGGCTTTCGTTTTCCCCACCCTTCTCTCTCTCTCTCTCTCTCTCTCTCTCTCTCTCTCTCTCTCTCTCTCTCACACACACACACACACACACACATACACATATATATTAAGGTAGGGGCACTGGATTTCATTGGAAGCATCTGACACCTACCTATACATTTAGTCCTTAAATTCTTGAACTTGAACCCTTGTTATCATAATAAATGTAAAGAAGTGATATGAGAGAATCATTTGCCCTCATTCCATTTACCCTCATTCTTGGAGAGACACATGCCTGATCACACATGTGAAGTGACTTTGAGTTTAAAACAGTATATTTTCGAAAAGGAAAAACTTCCTACAAAAGTATATTGACCACTTTTATTAATTCATTGCTTTTTAAATTAAATCACCATGACATACAGTTACAAAGCTTTCATGATCAAGTTTCAGTCATACAATGTCTCAACACCCATCCCTCCACCAGTGAACATTTCCCACCACCAATATCCCCCTAACTCATTGTTAATATACAATTTTAATTATTTTTCCAGCTTTTATTTCCAGTCCTTATTCAGGTCTTAAGATATAAGCACCCCCATTTTCTTTTCAATTTGCTCTGCTTTTCAGAAAATCAGTGGTCTATATTCTACTATCCCCACAATCTATAAGTATAGCCTCTTGCTCTCCCAGAATTCACAATCAAATAAAAAGAACTTTATATGTGGAAGAAAAGAAGCGAACACAATTTCTTTTACTTTCTCCCATAACCTTTCCCCCCACTTCTCACAAAGAATCAAGTTTTCTAACTGAAATATTGACTCTGAAGTTATTTTCCCTTTTCACTCAGACATGCAATTATCCCAAGCTTGTTCAAAATTTATTATCTCCTGTGAATCTTTAGATGTGCCCCACATACTTTTCTTCATTCTCAATTTACTATTAGTAGTGTTGTAATTATTATTGTTTTATCATTTCTGACTGTAAAGCAACCTTAAATTCAAAGTCATTACCCAATCATTAAAGATATTCCTAAATTGCTCTGCTAGTGAAAGACAAATCAGTCTAACGTGAAAGTCAAGAGGATTAAGATTGTAAATCATTAGCATCCCTGGGAGTACCAGTACTGACTCAATAGTGAAAATGTAGAATAAGCAATCTACACTGAGTAGAAACTACGTATTTTCAAGTACACAGAGCTATTGGTATACAGCAATACCACTCAGTATGTATATGTAGGATGAAAGTATTACTTTCTGCCTGGTTTATTATATACTACATTTCTATTATCTTTCTATTAATTATCACAAAACAGACCCTCAGGTCTCATAAATCAAATAAAATTCTCTCTGTCTCTTTATATCTCTCTCTCTCACACACAAACACACCCCTTTGGGTATGATATAACCAAATTTAAGAATAGTGTTTCTCATCCTTTTTCCACTGTGACACCTTTTTGACCTTGTTTCTTTCCAGAGATCTGCTCCTGTCCTAGACGTTGGCCTCCTAGGAATATCCTGAGAGCCCTCTTGATGACCTCTCAGTGTCTGTATTGCAAACCATAATGCCCAAAAGTAGAGAGTATGTGGAATACTGTCTGCCATGGAGGCTGGGGGGAAGGGTGGAAAGGGGGTTATACTGGGGAGATTGGTACTGGGGAATGTGCACTGGTGGAGGGATGGGTGGTTGATCATTGTGTGATTGTAACCCAAACATGAAAGCTTGTAAATTTCTCACGGTGATTCAATAAAATTAAAAAAGGGGGGCCCACTGAGAAATACTGGTTAAGAAGACATTTAAACCTTTTAACTGCATAATTAAATAAAGAATTATAATGATCTGGGGCTGGAGAGATAATAGAATGGGTATGACTTTTGCCTTGCATGCAGCCAAGCTGGCCTAAGCCCCACCAGAAGTAATCCCTAAGAACAGAACCAAGAGTAAGCCCTGAACACCACCAGGTGTGTTCCAAAAAATAAACAAAAGATAAAAAGTTGATTAAACACTAATAATGTTCTAAATATGAAGATTTATATCAAGTTATCTTTCCAATCACACCAAATGAAAACTCTGCAGTGACAAGATAGTCAAGAGTAAGCATCTGCTTCTCCCTGCTACATATTATTCCTGCTTGAGTTAGTCACCCTGAAGATATTAGAGCAATTGGTCCATCTTCCCAGCCTCACACTCCTTGCTCTATCTTTCTTCACATCAAAGATAAAATTTACAGTTTAGAAAAGTAGACTCATAACAACAGAACTGCTTGTTAACAAATCTTGGACCATAGGAAGGCAGGCCACCTAAGCTAAGGGCTTTCTTGACCATCAAACTTCTCTCCATAGAATGAAGTCTTCTATCATGAAGCTGCCTTCAAAAGTCACATGAGAATGCAGTAACTGCTACCCTAACGGAATAGCTGTTTTTCTGTCTCTGCTTTCACTAGGAGACTCTTTACAAATACCCTGTCTGCAGTGGACGAAGTACATTACCAAGGAAGTACATGCTCTCGTCATAAACACCCTGGAATAAGGGCAATTCTTATTATGACTTAAACTCAGGGAATGCTTTGACTTACAGAGTTGGATCTGGACAAATCTGCACATATTCTCTATTTTAATAGATTCCATTCATGACACTGTAGCAATTACCAGCATGGCTTTGGTACCAGATGGAGCCTGGGTTTGCATTACAATTCATCACTCATTAGATATGGGTTCTTGGACAAATGACTTCACCTCCCCCAGTTTCCTCTTCTAAAAGGCCATTTGAAGGCTCTAAAAGATTCAGCACACAACAATTGTGTGGCTTTGTATACAAATCATTAAACCTTTCTGTGATTCAATTATTCTTATCTGTTAGATGAAGGCAAAAACAATACCTATCTCACAGGGCTGTTGTGGAAATTAAAAATGAAACAGTGTAGGTAATTTGCTCAGCTCAGTGCTTGGCACATAATAAATGCTCGATAAAGATCAGTCATTAGATGGTAAGGCTATATCATCAAAGTCTTTCTTCTATATCTGTAAAATTTCTTGTAATTGTTAATACTTCAGATTTACATTTTAAGTGTCTCATCTTGTTGACTCCACATTCACCAAGAGTCATGTTAAAATTATCTTTCATATACTTTCAGTCTCTCCACTATTACTGAGTTCTTTCCACTAGCATATAACATGCTTCAAAGTCTGTAGCCATGACAAATAGCTTTCTCTGATTTGCAG